AGGTGAGTTTTTTTTATAAAAAAAAAAGGCTTTCTTGGTTTTATATTAAGAAATGTTTTTAAAAAGTGATAACAGAGTAACTAAAATGGGTGTTATGATATACAAAAATAAGATCTTATCTCTTTAAATTTTGATTATTAAGATAATATTGATATAAATGATTAACAACCTCTGATAATGGTTTTCTAATACTCCCTACTTGTTTGAATTAAGATAATATTTAGCCTGAATCTTTATGTTTAATATTAATTCCTGTCTTCTTACTTTTAAGAAGTGCCCTCATCCTGATCCTTTACATACTATTATATGTGGATGTCCTTGTGGATGTTTTTGATATGTTTATGAAATATTTAAATCTGAAAATCTAAAAAAGAACCTAACGTTTTTGTTAGCCTCTGATCTTTTAACTCTTGATTTAAAACATTATATTGCCAGAAAGGTGTTTAAGGACATCAATAAATTTATGGGAAATTTTTGGTTACATCTTATAGACCCATTTGTAACATCTTATAGACTCATTTGTAACATCTTATAGACCCATGACGAGATGTAAAAAAGGGCCCTAATTAAGTAAGAATTTTTTTCAATATATTGTTCTTATTATCATAAATAACATTAAATTCAAGAAATATTAATAATTCATATAAACCCGTTTTTCCTTGTATTCCTCAACACTAAATTAATCAGTAACTATTTCTAAATTAATATTATCTACCATATCATTTTTGTATAACATCGTCAATCCGTTCCACTATCAAACATATCCTATAATATACGTTTAATATATAGACTTGTATCATACAATCAAAACCTTATGTTGGTTATGGGCTTATGGCTTAGAGATTACTAGAATGGTACTCGTGCAATACATCGAAATACATCTTGATTTCAGTGTTTCGTTTTATTCTTTTTTATGTCGATATAATACGGTCTATGTGGTTTTGAGAAAACGAAAATGTTTTTATTTTTGAATAAAATATAAATTTGAAAATATCATAAAATTTTGAAAAAAAAATATATCGATATCAATATCAATATCAAATTCATCTTTTTAAAAGTTCTTATGTTTCGGTGTAATTTTCTTTAATTCAATTTTCTAATTGCAATTTTATTTAGGTTTAGTAACAAATAAATTTAATTTAGGTCTAATAATATAATCTATAATATATTATAAACATTTGACAAAAACTCTTAAAAACGATTTTTTATTCATAGGGGACTGTTTATCGATGCATATTACTTAAAATTCAAGATTACAAGTAGAATGTGCATGAGTACATCTTATTAAACCTCTATGTTTGAATTCGTGTAACTAACTGCATATAAACATAATTAAATACATGATAAACATCATTTTAAATATAAAAAATCTAAAATATAATTAAGATAATCATTAAGTTCTAACA